CGGCCGCTGCAGTATCCCTGCGCGCAGTGCTTCCCACCTGCGTGCGAATTTCCAGTTTCTGGCGGGCTTCCCATGTGTCGGTTTGAAGCAAAGCTTGATTGTGAGTGAGTTTTCTTTTGCGACCATTGCCAGAGCTGACTGCCTTGCTCAAGGCCCTCTGCAGCACTTCTTGGCTCCAGCAGGGGCGCGGCTTAGCCCGTCAAAGCAACAAACTGCAGCAGCGCTGCGCTCGATCAAAGTCGCCATGGGCAGCCCTGCGCGTGACGTGGCTCCGCCTCCGCTCTGCCTCGCAGGGGAGGAGACACCGCCGCCCCCGAGCGGGAGCGAAGGCTTTGCCCTTGTCGCCGCTGAAAGAGAGGACCTGCTTGCAACTCAAGCTGAGGCGCCGGACTACTTGAATGCCTTGGATGCTTTGGAGGCTGATGCCATTCGAGAGTATGCCGCATTGAAAGACAAGGTCTCCTCGGCTACGGACCCGTGTCAGGGTGCACGCGAGCAGCTGCAGGATCTCGCAAGGCAGGCGTGGAAGATGGCATTCCATGCTGACTTCGATTTCGACGCTTCTGAGCTCGGCGAGAAAGCCCAGCAGATCAAGCCAGAGGATCTCGAGAGATTTCACAACGCTTGGGCCAAGTTAGTGTACGATGTCAAAGAGGTATACCAAGCCATTGGCTTCCACAGCTTGCGATCATTCGTCACTTCGCTGCTTGGGTTTCTTCTCCGACTTGCTTGAACCTTGGTCCTGGACCCAGTCAACGCACAGGCAGACACGTCCCTTCGCTCTGCTTGCCCGTTCATCATCGCAGAAGCTGCTGGCCGTGTTTTAGTCGGGAACGGCTTGCCTCGTGATGGGCATGTGGTTTTCAGCGCTTTCCAGGGCCAGTGTGCTTATTATTGGAACGGCCCCACAGGTGGCCTTCGGAACCCCCCCCTGAAAGGAACTGAAAGTGACTGGAACGTGGCAGCTTCAAACTTGCCTCTTGTTGTGGCAGGAGAGTCAGCAGCGGGCAAGGACAACTTGAAGCGACTAGTGCTGGACTGGCTGCTAGCCCGCCAGCCATCTCCGGCTGATCAGCGTCTGGGCTTGCGGAAGCGTGCTGCGTGCGGAGGATCTCCCGCAGCACACTGACCAGCAGCTGGTTGGACGCGTTACGGGGCACCAGCTTCTCCTCAAAGGCCGTGGTCTGCACCTGCGCAGAGTCGATGGTGCTAATGACAAACCGGAGCCTCCCGTTCGAGTCGGGCCCACGTAAGTCGGCAGCTGCGCGCCCAGCAAAGCCAAACCACAGGCTTCAAGCAAGCATTCTGCTGCCCAGTTCGCTTTCCAAAAGCGTCTGTACCATCGAGGAGGTCTATGAGGTCACTCTCCTGCAGCATCTTCTCCCTCCTCTTGTTGATCACCTTCTCCAGCTCGCCGTTGATGATCTGGAGCTGACCGCTGTTCTCTAGCAACTCCTCCATGATACCCGTGACGGTGAGTGATCCTCCCATGGGTTAGGCCGTGCTAGGCTTTAGTTTTAGCGAAGCGCTAAGACCACACTCGAAAAACCAGAGGATTGCGCAGCGGGTGCGCGAGCGCAAGACTTGCCCTCCCACAAAGAACGTCTCCCGCCCCTGCCCATTCACCGTGCCCCAACGCCTGTCCTTGCAACAGGGCATGCGTGGCAGGCTTGTCTTCACCACCCAGCTTGCCGCTTACCAGAAGGAGGTGAGGCTCAGCAGCCAAGCAAGCGACGCATTCAGTTGCGGCTGCCGCGCAGCAAGCGCGCCAAGGCAGAGGGGGGCGGTCAGGGCCAGGGCAGCGAGATGGAAATTGAGCGCATGCAGTGGAGCAGCAACTTTGGTGCTGGCAGGTGTGCTGGATGGCTCTGGCCAAGCTTGTGACAAGGCAGGCAAGTGCCCGGGTAGCTCAATGGTGACGAAGCACGCAGGAAAAGCGTTTGGGGCAATGGCGACAGCCAACGCAGCAATGCGGAATGGTATGCTTCGGTGGGCCCTCTGAGACAAGGTTCCAATTGATAGCCACGTCAGGATTTTGGACAGCCTTGCCGCAATTACAAAAATGGAGATGTGCTCCACGAACCAGTTGCTGGCTGAGCCAGAGCCTGAGCTCATCCCAGACCTCGACCCCATTGACTTCGCAGCTAGGCGCCTCTTCGACGGCTTGGCCAGTGAAGCGGAGGGGGAGGAGACGCTGCTTGAGAAGGCCACCACTTTGGGCATGCCCTTCAAGATCAACAGCAAGACGGCGTGGCGCAACTTCCGCCAGCTGCACTTCAGTCGTGGCAGGAAGCGACAACAAGGCCTTGAGCTGAAGATGCTGAGTAAGAGCCTAGTTGTGCGTTCAGATAGACGTAGGGTTTGGAAGCGACAACAAGGCCTTGAGCTGAAGATGCTGAGTAAGGGCCTAGTTGCGCGTTCAGATAGACGTAGGGTTTGTGCGGGTTTGAAGGGAGTCTATCACTACTGGGAGTATTTTCAGTTTTGCCGGGGGCTTAAGCAAACGGAAGCTAGGTTTCTCGTTTTCCTTTTGACGCCGACCAAGAGGGGTCGGTGCAGAAGTGAGACCCTGCCCATTACAAGCTCCCCAATCCCACCTCCCTTCCATGTGGCGTGCATGCATTGTTTGAAATCTCCACAAGGCAAACTATATGATATTCATGTTTGGTATTTCTTTTTGTGGGGCTCGGAAAGGCCTATTCCGTGCCCTACAAGGCCGGGTCTGGCAGGAAGGGTGAAGATGTGAGACCTTGCCCGTTGCAAGCTCCACAGGCCCACGAAACTTTTCGCAAAAAGTCAAAAAGTCAAAAACTTTTCGACTTTTCGACTTTTCGAATTTCTGGGGACTTTTCGACTTTTCGAGTTTTTTTTTTGAGACTTTTCGACTTTTCACTTTTCGACTTTTCGAATCAAAAACACACAGTTTTCATCTTGTGTCCGTGACCAGCCAGAGGACACCTCCTCAAGCCACAGTATTGCTCCGTATTTGCAGTTGCCAGCAACATCACTGACATGAAATGTGGCTACACCCTTTTTGCAGGGTACGGTTTTCTGAACATGTCTTCGGGGCCTGTTTGGAACTTGGAAAAGTACAGGTGCAGGCTCCCGCTGCTAACAAAGGCTTTGCCGAAAGGCTGGGGTTTTGAACCTTGTCAAAATGTCATTTTACATTGGACACAGTCTTGACACAAGTTTTAACACGGCTAGTGTTGGCACAAGTTTTGGCGGACTCGTCACCAACAATCCAAAACACCGCACATGTATTGCTCGTATCAAAACTTGTGTCAACACCTCAGTGTCAAAATTTGTTCTGCGTCAAGGCTAGAAAATTTGACATAGTCACACGACTGCCTTTTGTTTTCAATTGAGTTTGGACCCAGTTGTCTCGGAGCGGGTGACAAACTTTCCTGGCGTTCCATGATAGAGGACCCCAACATAGCCCCAGGATCCTGATTTTGGAAAAGTACTTTCTAGAATAGCCACCTCAAGAAAAATAAGCGGACCCATGTGGCAACGATCCATTGCTCACACACTCAGGCACCCCCGCCAAGACTCATACGCATTTTTAGCTACCAAGAAAACAAAGCACATGTTTGCAGGCAAGAGCCAGGGCAAATGCCAACACAAGTTCTTAACAGTTTCTGAGGCATCAGTCTTGCTAGGCGGGTTGGAAACAGATGATCGAATGGTCCCATTCCCTTTTTGCTTCACACTGTCAAATGCTAGCCTCAACTTAACAGACCTCGCGACAAAGCACATTTGAGCGTGGTTTGCGTGTGTGTTTGCATGTGCGTGTTTGCGCCTGCGCTTCTGTGTGTGTGTGTGTGCGCGCGGGCGTGCGCACGGGCGTGCGCGTGCGTGCGTGCGCGCGCGCGTGCGTGCGTGCGTGCGTGCGTGCGTGGGTGGGTGGGTGGGTGGGTGGGTGGGTGGGTGGGTGGGTGTGTGTGTGTGTGTGCTTGTGTGTGTCAGTGCGTTTGTTCCTTTTTAAATTGTGCATTTGTTGGTGTACCTGGTTGTGAATGCTTGCCTGTGTGTGCTTCTGTGATTGTGTGTGTTGGTGTTTGTGTGTGCGTCCGTTTGCTTTTGTGTTTGTTTTCTTCTTGTTTGCTTGTGTATTTGCTTATGCGTGTTTGTGCGTTTAGGTCTTTGTGTTTTTGCGTGTGGCTGCGAGGCCGCTAGGACAGGCAAAAATCGTTTTGCTGCTGTATTTTGCGCCTCGCGCCACCGCTTGTTCTTTGCTTCAACCAAGGCGAGCCTTGAAGTCACTGCGAGCCATACGGATGATGCGCAGCTTTCGCCTGTTCCGCGGTTTGCGCCTTTTGGCGCCTCGGAATTCGCACGGGTCTGTTTCATTTTGCCCTGTGTGCTTGGGCGCACTCGAAGGATGTTTCGTTGGTCCTTAGACAAAGAAGCTTGGCAGGAAGGGTGTGCCCGTTCCCAAGCCATGAATTTGACCACATCATTCAGTGAGACAATTGCAGAAGGTTTAGGTCTAGGCTTACTCCCGTTTTCTCCTCGCTGCGACTTCTTTTGGACATGATTTGAGGTCGGCGTGCGAAGGGCATGCCGGGCCTTGCGATTGCACGAGCGCCCAGCTTTCCAGTTCTGAAGCGCGATCGTGCTGAATCGAGGTCAAAGCTTGCCAGTGTTTTTTGCCGTCGCTATGCTGGGCTATGGTACTACTCGGCGTCTTCATGACTATGGGGGCGCTGATCATGGGCACTTGCTGCTGCATTGCGCGGTCTTTTGCATGTGATAGTTTGTTTTTCAGTCTGACAGTTGTGGCGCTGGCGGTGTTAAGCGCATGCGTTCAGGCAATTTGTTGCAAAGTTTTATCACTGATGAGACGGCGCTGCTGGAAGACAGGGAGTGGATTTGGAACAGAGCCTTGGAAAGAGAGTTGCTGGACAACCAGGCTCGCTTTGCAGTTGCTTCCGGACGCGCCCAGCGATCAGCTTAGGATATGGCACGGCCTACAGAGCAACCTACACGCTGTACGAGACCCTTGGATTGCCACATCGTCCTGCTTCTGTACAAAGCCAGAATCAACGTCAGTTGTTTCAATGCATATTTCCGGGATTGTTGATGCGCCGGCATTCCACAGCAGTGCTGCATCTCACTCACCAACACTGTGAGATCTGATGGGAATGCTATCTAACGAAGCTACTGTCGCACGCTTTTTGGCATAGTTCTGTAAAAGTTCACGAAAGGCTTGATTTCAGCTAGCTCAGCGTTAGAGCTCAAGTTTTGCTTGAGCATGTGAAGAGATAGAGACCGGATGCTTTCTTGGCTATATTTGATTGAATCAGGCTTTACGCAACGACTATTCTTTGGCTTGACACCCACTGTTTTTTCTGGCATTTTGGCCCGTGTTGGGTTGTTATATGTTAACATGTTGTTATTTTTCTCTTCGAACGCCACACCTGCTTGCGCAACCTCTTGAGTAGGCTTGAGAACCACGTAGTTTTCTGCCAGCTGAGCAAGTTTTTTTTCCTGACAGAGTCTTGGGTTGCTCTTAATTTATGTCCGCGCAACGTGCCTGCTCAAAGTCTTGCGCGGATAGAGCATTAATCTCTGCAAACCAAATCACAGGTTTGCCTCTGCATTTTGCGAATCCGTTGTTGTTGTTGGTTTTTTTGGCGTGACGCCGCTCGGAGGCCGGAAGTTGCTTGCTGCATGTCACTTTGTTGGGCTGGAAAAGCCAGATTTCGACCACAACATACAATGTTACAATGGAGACACCACCAACAAGGCCAAAGCTACGACTACCAACTCCACAACTGGTATGGAGACGCAGAGCACCTTCCACAGACCTAGAAACGACACAACCAAAAGCAACCATACATAGACCACCAACAGCAAAAGAAGACAACCAATACTACTGGGAAAGACAAGGTGAACACTGGATAAGACATCACATGATGTTGCTCTGTTCACACCTACAGATGGACCAGGACGTCCACCAGTCAGCAGGCTGGGGCGTCGCCGCCTGTGGTTCTCTTTTCTCCGTGCTGCGGCTCCGTTTGGTTGTTCGCGGCGCGGCTCCTCCGGCTTTGCCGTTCTTCTCTCCGGCTGGCTGCGTGGGCTCCTCTGTCTCCTGTGCTTGGCTCGGGGTCTGCTGTGGCGGTTCGCCGGCTTGGCTGGTCTTTCCCTGTCGGTCCTCTGCAGGAGTGCCTCGACCGTTTGGGCCACCCCGGCTTTGCCTCGCCTGTCCCTGCGGGGTTTGGCGGCTCCTGCGACTGTCCTCGCTTGGTTCCTCTCTGTCTCTCGTCGTGTCTTTGCCGCTTTCGGCTTTGCTCTCGGCTCCGCCGCCTCGCGTTTTCTCCGGCCTCCGGGCCTTGGCGGCGCGTCGTTTTTCCCTCCTCGCGCCGGCCTTGGTTGGCCCTCGGCCGGCTCGGGGTCTCTCTGCTTGGCTCTGCCCTGTGGGTCCTTCCTTGGCGGTTTGTCTGGGCGCGTCCGTCTGTTTCTCGCCGCCCGGTTGCCTGCCTTCCCGCCCGCCCCTGCTGGGCTTGGATCGGCGTTTTCGCTCGCGGCCTCTGCGCCGCTGCCCGCGCTCATCAAGCAGGGGGCCCCCTCTGGTTGTCGCGTGCTTCCCGCCCCTTCCCCCCTTTCCGCCCTTCACGTGCTGCCAGCCCGCGTCAGGTTGCAGTACTCTCCCTTCCCCCCGACTAAGGATCACGACATCCGCCTGCCGAATGGAGCTCATGACCTCGAGACGGTCGAGGCACTCCTGCAGAGGACCGACAGGGAAGGACCAGCCAAGCCGGCGAGCCAAAGGACAGGCGGGGGCGATCGTGAGCCGAGCAGACCCAAAGCACATGATCGAGCGAAGGACACGCACTCGAGTCCCCACAGGACTGACACCCAAGCCGAACCGCACCAGACAGAGTCCAGGTCGCATCAGCGAGCATGCCGCACCAGTGAGTCGAGTGCGTCGGCGCGCCTGGGGGCCACCCCGGTCCACCAGGTGGCGATGCCCCGGGCTGAAGGTCTCTCCGGTGTCGCTTCTGTGCTTGCGTGTCGGCCTGGGTTCTGCCATGCGTCTACGCGCTTTTCGTGCTTCTCTCGCCCGTCGCCTTTGTGTGGCCGGTCTCTCGAATCGGGTCTGCTCTGCCCCTCTCGGGTTTGAGCCGTCTCGGGTCGTGGCTCTCTTTTCTCCGTCTCCCTGCCTTGTCTCTGCTTTGGCTTTGCGCCCGGTGCCCCGCCTGTCCCTGCGGGGTTTGGCGGCTCCTGCGGCTGTCCTCGCTTGGTTCCTCTCTGTCTCTCGTCGCGTCTTTGCCGCTTTCGGCTTTGCTCTTCTCCGGCCTCCGGGCGGGCCTTGGCGGCGCGTCGTTTTCCCTCCTCGCGCCGGCCTTGGTCGGCCCTCGGCCGGCTCGGGGTCTCTTTGCTTGGCTCTGCCCTGTGGGTTCTTCCTTGGCGGTTTGTCTGGGCGCGTCCTTGTCCCTCCGGGGTTTTGGCCGTCTGTTCCTCACCGCCTGGTTGCTTGCCTGCTGGGGTCGTCTGTTTCTCTTTTCGCCCGCCCCTGCTGGGCTTGGATCGGCGTTTTCGCTCGCGGCCTCTGCGCCACCGCCCGCGTTCATCAAGCAGGAAAACCCGCCCTCTGGTTGATGCTTCTTTCCCGCCCCCTTCCCGCCGCCTTTCCGCCCTTCCCGTGCTGTCAGCCCGCGTCAGGTTGCAGTACTCTCTCTTCCCCCGACTGAGACCTCGGCCCCTGCCTCGTGGTCCTTGCGGGAGCTTGGGGGCAACGGAGACTGTGGCTTTCTCGCTGCGGCCGGGGCCATCGCCTGGTCCCAGGGCCTCAGCCTGGACTCCGCCGAGCTTGGCCGGGAGGCCGCTATAGGCTCCGGCTCCTTGCCGACATGGCCAAGCACGAGGCCTCCTACTCTCCTTCTTGGGCTCCGGATTCTTCTGATCAGCCCCAGATGTTCGGCTCTCGTCCGATCCCGACCTGCTGGCGGGAATATATCGGCGCTGCCGCGGCCAAAGGGTTCTGGGTCGACGGTCTCCTCATGCGTGCCCTCTCTGAGCGCACCGGCCATCCGATCATTGTCTTTCGCTTTGACCCCGTGTTTAAGGCTTGGTCTCGCGGCGTTGTCGCTCCTTGGTTTGCTCATGGCTCCGCCGCTGGGCCGGCTGGCCGCTCCCCGCTGGCTTTGGTCTTACGGGATGGGCACTACCGCGCGCTCCTTCCTCAGGTTGGTGCTCCCTTCCCGTCCGGCTGGCTCCGGGAGACGGCTTCCATCTCCCGTGCTGCTTGGCGCGGTTCCGGCCCCGGCTCTGGTCCGGCCCGCTTGCGGGTCGCTGCTCTCTCTGTCGTTGGTTCGGGTGCTTCCGCCAGGGACGTCCTGTCTCTTCTGGGGGCCACGCCCGACTCGGGCGGCCATACGTCGGCTGGTGCCTTGTCGGTGCTTGGTGCTACCCCGCAGCCTTCCGCGGCGTCCGGTGGTGCCGTTTCAGTCGCTGATGGGTCTGCTCCTTCTGGGCCCCGTCCGGCGCGGCGCGTCGCTTCGGAGGCGGGCCTGTCCGTGCTTTCTTGCACCCCTCGGCGCCTCGGTGGCGCTTTGGCTTCGGCGGTTTCTCCTGCCTTCCGGGCCTCGCGGTCTGCCTGCGGTCCCAGTCCCTCGGCTGCGGCTGGTCTTGGTGACGCCTTGTCTCTGTGCTCCGGCACCCCTGGCGGTGCTTCTGCGGCTGTTGCTCCTTCCCGGGGCGGCGCCGGCCTTTCTGTCCTTGGCGGCTCTGTGCCCGGTCTCGGCTCTGATGTCTTCTCGGCTAGTGGCGGTGATGCCATTTCTGTTGGCGGTGCGGGCCCCTCCCTTGGCATCGGCCCCAGCGGCGTGGCTTGCCTTGGTCTTGGCCACGGCGGTGGTGCGTCCGAGGCCCGTGTTCCCGCTTCTCTGCGTGTCGGCGCTGCTGGTCTCCCGGGTGCCCTTGGCATCGGCTGTGTGGCTTTGGGCTTCGGCGCGGCCACCCCTTCCGTTGGCGCGGCTGGTGGTTCCCCTCCTCGGCTCGGAGCTGGTCGCTCCGCGCCTGGTCTTTCGGCGCCCGGCTCCGGGGTCTCTGGCTTGTCTGCCTCGGCCTCTGTTGTGCCCCCCGCCGAGCCTTCCGCTCTCCCCGCTCGGCGCCGTCTGCTGTCCAAACGGCCTCGGCCCCCCGAATTCCCGCCTCCCTCTGGGGTTGGCGCGTTCCCTTCCACCGAAGCCGCTTCTGGTCGCACCTTGTGGTGGACCTGCCCGCTGCCCGGCTGTTGCGTCCGCGTGTTCCGCCACGCGGTGGTTCGTGGTCATCATGAGGCTCGGCGCAAGCATCTCTCCGATCATGGCCTTGCCCCTAAGGACTTTCCGCCTCTGCAAGATGCTGGGCCCAAAACCAAGCGGCGCCGCACTCCTGCCGAGGCGGCGGTCGCCCGTGCTGCCAAGGTTGCCCGTCGGCTCTGCGGTCAGCTTGCGCGCCGCGACCCGGCTGATCGCCCTGCCTCCTCTCGCTGTGGGAGTCTCCCCGCTTTCCCGGTCGTTCCTGCCGGGGAGCAGTCGGTCTGGTGGCGTTGCTTCTGTGGCTTTGAGGTCCCTCCCCTGCCTGGCACCAAGCGCTACCATGTTAAGGCCAAGCACCTCCGTGACGCGCACGGCGTCCACCGCCCTCCCCCAGCTCCTCCTTGCACACCGAGGGCCACCGCCTTGCTGCTGCCGACGATGCCTTTGCGCGGCGCTGGCAGGCTCACTGGCATGCTTTCCAGCAGCGTAAATGGGCTGGCGCTCACGATATCGCTCTGGAGGTCGCCTCCTACTGTCCCCACACAGCCAAGCTTGGCTATGAGTGGGTTCGTCACGACCATGCCTGCCGCGGCTGTGGTCTGCTGGTCTCCCGCGACCAGGTTGTCTCGTCGGTCTGCATCTCTTCCGGCTCCCCTCCTGCGCTCAAGCGCCGCAAAAATATCTGGGCTCAGTGCCGCGCCTTCGCTGCCAAGTCCCTCAAGGATGCACGCGATCAGCGGCGTCTCTCC